TATATAAATATAATATATATAATAATAATAATTAATAATAATAAGTAAGTTAATCACAAGAGGATTTGGACTTTGGTATTATCCTAGGCATCCTACATGTGATTGGGGGATGCATGGAAAGGCTACAATCTAGCCACATGGCCTAGGGCCAGCCTTGGCTCAAGCCCACTAACCAGGAAGCTATGCCATGGGCCACCTGGCACACTGTGCTTCCTAACATCCATGCCGAGGTCCTGTAGCAAGCCGTGAAGTGTCTGGCTGGAGCCTCATGCTGGCTGGGGAGCCAGGGAGCAAGAGGGCTTCCTACAGGCACGGCCCTGTTAGTCAGGTCAGTGAAAGGTGCTGGCCTCATCTCCTGGGGTGGATGGGGACTGACACGGGCCCTTTGTCCCACCTCCGGTGTCCCATGCCCCCACTCTCAGTCTTGCCTTGGCTGACAGCAACCATAGATGGCCTTCTCCTCTGTCCCTTGAGAACCCTATTGGAGGAGACTGTGTCTGACATCCACTGAGGACTAGCCCTAAAGTGTCATGTACAGGTCAGAGGTTAGTATTTATTCTGGATTTTCAGTCCTCAGTTTGACAAAGTGTATCCTGGGGGAGGTTAGTCCCCCCAAGGATCTGGAAGGTTCATGGTCAAAAGAACATCAGAGATATGGACAACTCTACCCCATTCCTAGGACTCCACACTGAGAATTAGCACTTTTTATTGTCAAAGAGGGAATATGTTTTCCAGAGAGAGGCAGAAAAAGAGGGAGAAAGTACCCCCAATGGGTCATGGTCATACCTCAAGCCTTCTTCCATTTCTCTGTCCTTTCAGGATTCTGAAGACACACACACACACACACACACACACACTCACACACACCGGATATTTTTCAAACCACCAGGGCTGGGATTTGAACTATAGTCAACCACATGGGATCCAGCTTCCTCAACCACCAGGTTACAGAGCTGGCCAAGAATTAGCATTTTTAAAGCTCTGAAAAGTTCTGTAGCGGGAACCAGCAGTTAGTGTAATGGCTACGTCGCTGGACTCCCACGTAGTGGACCGCGGTTCGCATCTCGGACCCGGTGGCTTAAAACTCACGCCGGGCACGTGTGCGTACGTGCCCAAGATCCCGAGAGGAGAATGGAGGAGAAGGGATTGCGGTGTGGCCATCCCCCCTGGGGGGTGATTTCTCGCTTTCTGTCTCTATGTCTCTCTCTGTCTGGCGAGCGCACGCACCCTATAGCGAAAAAAAAAGAAAAAACCTCTCCAAAAAAAAAAAGTTCTGTAGCAAAGAAGCCCAGCCTGAAACTACGGGATCCACTTTTCCCCAACAGTTTGACAGTTTCCAAAGCACTGTACGTTTGTGTACATGTGCTCCCAGCTTTTCAATGAGAACAATACAATTTGTAACACTCCTTTCCCAATGGGATAGTCTTAGTATATTTTCCCACCAATGAAAAGTAACTGAGTGAATCCGTTTACACACAGTGTAGGAGGCCGGTGGCGGCTATATCCAGTCTACTGGCAATGTGTTTTGGAAGGAGTTGCATCTGAGCTCAAAGTGGTCACATCTGAGGCCCCGTTTCAAAGCCAAGGCGGGTGTCTTGTACCAGGCCCTTCCTTCTATTCCTGCACTCACCCTGGACAGGACAGGTCAAGTCACCTGCCTCATAGTTCTGTTCCCTCAGCCTATTTCGAACCGAAGCATGGTGTGAATGCTTCACCCAGCACCGACAAGCCGAACTGGGAACAGAGCGGGCGAGAGTCCCTGTAACACCATGTGGGGCTTCTACTGAGGGGCCAGGGGATGGCGGAAAACCTCAGAATGTCAGAATCGCAGCCTCCAGCAGGTGTCATGAGACAGGCTGGAGTTCCTTATAAGCTAGGGGACCTGTTCTTGAAAGTTACAGAAAACCTGTCCCAGGAAAATCCCAGCTCACAAATAAGCAGCACTGCAGACTGGCTGGAGCGTGGACTTTGGTGTCAGCCCATCATTCAAAAGTGGACCCCACCCCTCTGCACCTGTGAGACACGGACAGTTACTTTCCCTCTGTGGGCCTCCAACGCATCCATAAAATGAGGACTGTGACTCTGCTTCACAGACGGTAATAAGGACTGCGTTAAGATCCTGCCACGGGACCTAAAACCGTTGTCAGTTATTCACACACAGCACATACGTGCTCCTCCTCGGCCCCACATGCTTATACATACATGTATCATGAGGTGTCCTCGTCATGAAAACTCTGCTTTCTAAAATCTAACACTGCGGTCCCTTACTAGAGTCATTTCAGTCATTTTCAAACTTGAAGATCACCAGGAGGACTTAGGAAAAAACACAGATGCCTGCTCCCCCTCCCTGCCCTCAGTTCTGGTCCTGAGGTCAGGGACAGGGCCCAGACGAGTCCCCTGCAGGTGCCTGGCAAGCACACTGATAGTCCCCATCTCGCTCATTTAAGTCGCGATCAGGATAAGCATGTATCTGCCCACATACACACTGCAGCCTCTCCACAGGGCGGAGGGGGTGGTGCGTGGGAGGGTCAGCTAGCTGGAGGTCAAAGGTCATGTGCACTTCCAGGTCTTTCTACCCAGGCAGTGTCAGGGCCCTGTCTATCCCCAGAGAATCCTGGAAGAGAAGTGATGTGCCCTCTCCGGAGCAGCTTCATGGCGGGGCAACATTTAGGCCCTGGAGGATGACTGCAGGGGAGAGGGCAGACAAGGTACAGAGGAGAAGGAACACCACACCGCAGGTGGCCCCTGATGGGGGCAAACTCGTGTCCTCTGGCAGCTTAGAGACCGCTTACCCCACTGCCCCAGTCATTTGAAGTCAGGCCTCGTCTGTCTTCTATCAGCTATCACTTTAAGTCTCCTCCAAGACTAATTCCACTG